GGAGCCTCCTCCCTCCCCTCCTCCGACGCCTCCCCCAGAAGAGGAGGAGTCCCTGTCCCTGTCCATGCCTCTTCCCCCTCCCCCAGAGCCCCGTCTGGAGGACATGGAGCCCGTCCAGGACCTGTTTGAGGACGAGGACTACCTGGAGCAGGAGTTGGAGGCCATGTCGGTGGGTCTGCCCCCACCTGAGTCTCTCACCAACCCTTCCAGCCTTCCCCTCATTCAGAGCCCACCGCTCTCCCCCACACATCCAGACCAGATCTACTTAGCTGGAGGTTCACCCATGGGTCAGCCCTACGAATATCACCCCACCTCCTCCTCCATGTCCTCTCCAACCCGTGGGTCATACCAGCCCACATCGCCCTCCCTCTCCCCGACACATCAGAACTCCCACTACCGACACAGCCCTCCGCATACCTCCCCGGTGCACCAGCACTCCTACAGCTTCAGCCCTCCTCCTATGGGTACTGGGGGTCAGGGGATGGATCACCAGAGCCCACCGCCTTCCCCTTTACGTCGGGCTGCTCAATACAGAGCCAGTCCGCCAGTAGAAAGTGTTTGTCTGTACAGGTCCCAGTCTGGGTCACCTGTGCGCTACCAGACAGAGCAGCACCCCGGCCGACCCAAATCTCCCCTTTCCAAGATGAGCAGCCAGCGTTCATTCCAGCTGAGCTCACAGCCTTCTCTGTCCTCCCAGCACCACCAAGCCCAAGGCCTTCGTCTTCAGCCTTCTATAGCCCAAATAGTCCGCACAAACCAGCCCAGCAATGTGATGAGCAACAGCATTTACGGTGGCCAGATGGGCCACTCCATTGGTGGTCGCTACCAGGGGGGTTCAGTGGATGTGGAAAGCCGACTGGTGTACCAACCCTCCCTGGATGGACGGTCCATGCCCCAGGTCCAGGCCAGCCTCAGTTCTGGGGCCCTCTGTCAGCACGGTGGCCGAGGAGGGGTTATGGAGTCGGGCCTGTTGAAGGATGAGCTACCCCAGCGCCCCTCCTCTGCCTACCGCGCCAGCAGCGGGGGCCCAGGGGGCATCCGTTACAGCCAGACACCTCAGATAAGCCGCAGCCAGTCAGCGGCCTACTACCCAGTCTCTGAACACATATTGGAGCGCGCCAATGCCATGCCCCCCTGCCAGCTGGGCTCTCCTGAAATCCCCCATATGGTGAGACGCCCTGTCAGTGCCAATACTACTGAAATAAAGCAGCATGTGCCCACCCCAAGGCCTCTCATCCATTCTCAGAGTGTAGGCCTCAGATTCTCCCCCTCTAGCAACAATATCTCAACTGGATCCACCTCAAATTTAGCACCGGGCTTCAGGCCATCCTCTTCAATTCAGCAGATGGAGATCCCCCTGCAAGCCACATACGAGCGCACCTGTGATGACATCTCTCCCATCTCTCCCTCCCAGGGCGGCGGGGGGCTGTATCAGGGCGAGACCACCCGCTCTCGGAACACGCCCTTCATGGGCATCATAGACAAGACGGCGCGAACTCAGCAGTACCTGCATCAGCCTTCGCGGTCCAGGGCCATGACATCCATGGACTCTGCCATCAGCCCCACGTCGCCTGGTCAGCTAGTGCAGCAAGGCTCCACCTACAGTCCCCCCGCCTCACTGGGCAATATCGCCTACTACAACAAGACAAACAACGCCCAAAACGGACACCTGTTGGAGGAGGACTACTACTCCCAGACCCAGCCCCCCTCACTGGGCAAGCTGGCCAATGGCTCCCGCGGCAGTGGAGACATCCTGGAGCGGGTCAGCCAGGTGCCCACCTACCCAGATGTGAAGGTGGCAAGGACTCTGCCCGTGGCACAGGCCTACCAGGACAACATGTACCGCCAGCTCTCGCGTGACTCCCGGACCCAAGGCCCCACCTCCCCCATCAAACCAAAGAGACCATTTGTGGAATCAAATGTGTGATGGCCTGTCTGTGATTGATTGGTTGGACTGGGCTTGTTAATGGGAGCGAGAGGAGATAAATAGACAAATATTTAGCTCAACAGCTGATGCTGATGACCCTTGTGTATGTGACATGGATGAACTCATCTAAAAGAACTCATAAGAGACAGATCCAGTTAGAAAGAAAACCACACAACCGCCACACACATTTAGGGTATTACAATATGAAAAACATAAACACTGAGAAGCGAGTATTTCATTATCATATTCTGCACACAGGTACGATAACGGGAGGGTCCTAAGTTCTGATCTCATACTAAATCGAAGACCAGTGCACTTCCAAAATGTTGTGTGGCACAAAGTTCCCACAAGTGAACACAACAGGTGGGACTAAATGAGTGAAAGTACTAATCATCGGACTCTACTTGTGGACTCTGTATCCATCTTCTGTTCTTTCAAAGTGTGCTCTTAACCAAGGTTGCTAGTAGGCTCTATTCTATGTAATACAATATTATATGTTCAATACTGTACATTGCTCAGAAAATACAAATGGCTCAACAACTCAGTAAGTAGAGAAAAATGACAATATTTATAATTAAGTTATATATTGTACATAGAAATAAAACAAAACATAGTTTGCGTTTGAATTGTATTCTGTTAACCCTGCCTTTGTGTCCCACTGCTAGTCATATGGATGTGGAAAACTGACCAGGGTAAGGAATGAGGGACATTGACCAACTTTGAATGATAATAATTACCTCTTCTGTGTCAAAATAAAAAATATTTTGTTGTGGTTCAATGCAAGTAAAATGCTTTCTGTGCTGCAATAGGTCCTCAGTGATTTAAACTAAGGCTGCACGATCATTTTTCTTTATCAATTCATCTGCAGATAATTTTGTAAGTTAGTTTTTTTTCTGTAAATTGTCAGAAAATATCTAAATATGCCCAATATAACATCGAACATGAAGTCTTCAAATGTCTTGTTTTGTCCATCCAACAGTGATATAAAAACCGCAGTGAATCCTCACACTGGAGAAGCTAGAACCAGATAATGTTTGGCATTTTTGCTGGAAAAATGACTGCAATGATCCATGGTCAAAATAGTTGCCCATTAATTTCCTGTGCACCAATTAATGGACATATTGTTTTAGCTGTAAGTTAATAAGCACAAGTATTGATTCAAATCTTACCCAGACTATCACAAAGTGCACTACAGTATGCACTTTTCAAAAGTTAAAATGTTTGTGTCAGAAGGAAAATTTAACTATTGCACATGGTCCCTAAACCTATTTTTGCATAGTTTTTGGTTGATTAAATACATGTTGAAATCAGTCACCTCACCCAATTTCTGAGATTCAGATACGTTTTCTGTATTTTTAAGTATCATTACTATATCACACACCTCGTGATATGGTCATGGCGTTACACCAGCTGTCAAGCTGCAATCACGAATATTTTCTGACATATTGCAACCTCACTGTGAATAAACAACTTTGAATACTTGCTTCACCATCTGCTTAAACAAACAGGCAAAGCATCATTTGCTATAGTTTTGTACAAGCACGTGATCATTTTGCAGACATCATAAAACTTGTTTTGAGGACAAACTGCTGTATTAGAATATTAGACCTTGAGTGCAATACGGTGATTTTAGCACGTGGCACATGATCATCAAAGTTCGCCTTTGTCCCTCCTCCGTACGTGATGACACTGTATGTTCCTGAGAGAGTAGAACGTACAGTACATATGCTAGTGATGGGTTAACATGGATAGTGCTCAGCGATTAAAAGCAAGCAAATGCATACACGACCACTGTTACAGATGTTTCCCTTTCTCCTGCATAATTTTGTGTAATTTCTTTTTACCCACAATGCATTTTTATTCCGCCACTTCTGCACTAAAAATGCCTGTTAAGTTCTTAACTAAGGGTGCACTTTATGTATTTTACTTACTTTGTTATGATTGCTGAATATGGAGAAACTGGATGTGTGATCAGTCAGACCTCTGACCAGTGATGCCAGACTATCAGACACTATTACTATATGATTTACAAAGCAGTGATGAATGACAATATGATGAGCAAACAATGTTTTTAAACTGGTGAAGATGTATAGACTTTCTAGCACAAGTTGTATATACGGATTCAGATATTCCACTCAGTCCAGCTCTGGTGTGTTCCTTAAGCAAGTCTGTTTTCAAGAGGCCAATCATACTTAAGTATTCCACATCATAAAAAACATCCATTAAAGTCCTCTAACTCTTAATTATCCAGTCTAACCCACTGGTCTTGCACACATCTTGAAAATTATGTCCAATGAACTGCAAAAAAAAAAAAAGTATGACTGATGTGTCAGTGCCCAGAAACTCCATATTTGGAGTTGGAGTGATAGAGTAAGTGGAATAATGTGAGTATTCAAGTTATTTGTACATGTGGGAAAAGTTATAGACCATTTGTCTGTAACACATTTATTTTGGTTCTCTGATATAGAATATCTAAAGACACAGTTCCTCCTGACTGTTCCCAGAGAGATGCCCTACTTATCTTTACAGAAATGAAGGTATAAACTGTACTATACTTAATTTAAGCAAGAACTTCTAAGTTGAGGATATTTGAGGGTGTATGGTTTCAAGCTGTCTGTGTATATTAGGTTGCTGTAAATAGTCTGATGCATGTTCTATTATTTCCATGAGCTCAAGCAGAAACATGTATAGCAGTGTGCTGACTCTGGTGTGTGATACAACGTTCGGATCAAGATAAGGAGACTGCTATCCCTGAACTATCCTTATCATTTTCCTTCAAACCTCACCAAACAACAGCAAAAGGTTCTTTTATTTTATTTTAATGTATTTGCTTGCTGAGCAGAGTTCTCTTGTCTGTAAATGTGAGCTTTCAGATCGCTGTGATAAAAAGTTTAATTAAAAACAATAAAAAAGAATGTGTTTTTATCTCATGATAACTGATTGTAATCTGTACAGTCAAACCTATGTATTGGGGAAAAAAAGAACATATTTATAAATGGTTACCAACTGAAACACACCCTGCATGTCAGTCATTTATTTTAAAGATTTTTTTAAATATAACATACAAATGTCATTTTTGAATTTGGTTATTTTAGATAACACCAGTGTGTCCACAGTAACAAACTTCTGTACAATATAATGCTCCCAAAATTACTACATTTGTAAAGCTATTAATGGTGTTATGTTGGATTTCATTATATTGTGTTCATATAACTTACATCGACATACGCCTGTTGACCGTTTAACCCAAGTATGAGCACTAGTTCAACCAGAAGAAAGTGCTTTTATGTTTCTTTGTTGAATTTTACACAGATTGTTACTGCTCATGTTGTGCCATTTTAAAGGTGAACTCCAACCATTTCACACATCAAAGTCTATTTATAGGGGTAATACTACTGCATAAGTGCAAAACGTTGTATAATGCCTTTTGTGGCTCTAAAAGATAAAATGCTTCAAGTTCAGTCTGTGAAGGGGGCTGAAGACTACAAGTTTGAAAATGAAAATTATCTGGGGGTGTGGAGAAGTCTATAGCCCGCTCCTCTTCTTTGCTTGAGGCTACAGTAAATTAGCTGCTATTAGCATAACACACCTGAATCTCCAAACCGAACAGTTGGTAGGTGTTTTGCATTGTGGGTAATTTAGGTGCCAGGTTTTGACAAGGAGAATAGGTGGAATAAAAAAAATACGGTCTCTCTGTGAGTCCGACAATGTTACACGAGTGAAATGCTAAATTAGTGGAGTGTTCTTTCGAACCTTTCTTGTGTAACATACACAAAAGCAATGTTTTTGCACAACAGAAAGTCTTGATGATAGGATCAAAAATTCTTGACTGGAAAAAAGAGCTCATTTATCTTTTACCAGGGCTGAAACGTTGCTAACGGAGTGATTACAAATGATCCGACAGAGCACAATGGGTTTTTTTAACATCCTTTCTCAGGCAACATTTCAAAACACAAATGATAGTTTCTGATTTGCAATACCTCAAAAGTGCCTATCTCCCCCGCAAAAAACATGTACTATTCTATGTACACATTTTAATTTACTGCAAGTGTTCAGTAAATTAAAAATCAATCCTTACATTTATGGCCCATGTAAGCTCATTGGGGGAAAAAACACATGAAGTCACTGACTGACTTGACAAAAATCTATGTGCAGTGACTAACAATAGCCTTTATCCACAAGAGTACACATGAAATACATTAAATAGACATTTAAAATGTTTACAGAAACTGAGGAGGAAGCTATCGCCCTTGGAGGTGTGAAAGACACCTAATGTGGAGAGAAAATGGTTTCTAGTCCTTCCTCTTTTTGCGTGTGAAAAGGTAAACCAGTCCAGGCACAAGTACCATGACAATCTGGGGCACTATGACAAATTTAACAAAGAACAGGCTATAGAAGAGGCCTTGTGGTCGGACCGGGAGCGGCAGACGATTGACGTGGTACAGTCCCATGGAGGAAATGGCCAGAGACAAAGCCCGTGGAGCCAAGGCAGAGACCATCCGCCAGGCTTCCAGTACTGGGCCAGCCCCAAACCCAGAAGGGCCCCGCAGTCTCGAGTCAGAGACGAGAATGGGGCTGTATCCAAACGAATCCACTCAGCGTGGCTGCACCATTTCTTAGCCAAAGCAACAGACCTGTGGGATAGATAGAATATCTAGTCTGGGAAAGAAAAATCGACAACTTCACCTCACAGAGCTTATTATGCATTGCACAGACTCATCAATACACATAAAAATAATAAAAAGGCTCACCAGGAGAGGTCGATTCCCAGCTGCTGCAGTCCAGCATGCAGTATTAGAGTACTGAGCAGCAGACCCATGCTGAAGCTAAAGAAGAACAGCAGGGGGCGGCCTTCTGGTACTCTGCGGCCCAGAAAATCCCCAGAATGAAACCTGACAAGAACAAATCAATAAGTTCAAATTTAAAAAATACACTGCATGTTCTCGCTCAGCCTCTTCTATAACATCAGGTACAAAAGAAATGCAACTTTACTGCTAACACAGATAATCTCCATGATATGATAATAATTCCATGAGGCAATATAGATTTTTTCACCTATAAGAGATTTTCCCATACTATGCTTAACATCTCTGAGTGTATTAGGCTACAGTGGGAATTGTTGCAAATCAACGAGCCAGAGGTTTTATGATAATTTTAAGATTCATATGATTTTTGCATCAGTGTGAAGAAGCACTTGTCAGGTTTTTAATTGAATGGATTAGCCAAGAACAACCAAGACTTGATTTTCCAGAATTACATTACGATACACATATACTGAGATACCCTACCCATTCTAAATGTTTCAGCTTGTGCATGGAACTGTATTCAGACCTGTAATGGAGCCAGCAATGACCTGGTGAGGGAAGTGGGCAAGGATAAAGATCCTGGAGATTCCAACTGCCCCCAGCATTAGGACATAGAACAGGTAGGAGTAGCTGATAACACCATGCTGGAGACACAGAGAGACAGATTCATTTAAAATAGCTCTGATATCTGCCAATTTTTTATCTTTGAATTTTTAAAGTCAAGACAGCATATGTGTATACTTTAAATACCTGTGAGTACGTGAGTACAGAAATGACCCCAGTGAGGACACCACGACCCACCAGGCTGCTGCCGTCACCATCGCATGTCCCGACGGACTGCCTGAGAGACAGACGCCAGCTTTAGAGCTCTGGCTGTGCCATGAATCACATGTACTGTCAATGACTATTACGTGCTATATTTTTCTTGGAGGACTTCTCACCTGGGCCAGTTTCACAGGTGGAGGAAAATTGCTGAACGTTGGGTTGCTTGTTGACGAACAGACGTGATTCACCTATCCACCAGAATGGCCTTTCCCCAAACAGCATCCTGGGAAAAATCAAATTCACGACATATTGTATAAAATTAACATTTCTGTATTTTCATCACAATCATTAAATACTCAATTTCTACTACCCTATCCTTAAGTGTGTCTCTTTCTACACTGACCTTTTTGCATCCTATTAGCACCTTATCAGCAGTTACAAACTCACATTTATCTGATACTTTCTTGTATATGAATGTTGCAATAAGTTCTGCACATCCTCTACTTAATTTAGAGAAAATTACATTTTCTTTGCACACCAACCTTTTATAAATTCTAAACCTATAATATCCCCTAACCTTATTATTTTTATCCCATATATTTCAATATTTCATGGTGTATAAATTGTTTTGATTCAGTTCTACCAAAATAATTTGTTTTAGAAATGATTAGTCCCAATTCTTAAAATCTCTTTCTGCAAATTTATTAGCAACCTTGTTTCAATCTACTCCCAAATGCACTTGTGTTCAACAAAAAGGTAAACTTTTACTCCTTCTGAAGATTTAATGTAATGTTTCCATGAAAAATATCAGTCTTTTAGTGTTTTTAAAACTGCATTTGAGCAGCAATGTTTTAGTTTTAGCCTCGTCTATTGGGTAGACTAATGAGTTATGGTGTGTGTGTAGATAACCTAACATTACTGGGTATTATTTTAGCATACCTCCTTAGTTGGGTCCATGGATCAATCTGTACAAATATGTTAATCATTTATGATGCTGTTGTGAAAAGTAAAAGTGTTATCGAGTTTCCTTTCTGACCACTCTCTACTAATCACTACAGTACAAGATTGTAGGGCTGCTACTAACAATTATTTTTATTATCTAGTTAATCTGTCGATTATTCAATTAATCACTTAGTTGTTAGGTCCAGAAAATTGTTAAAAATCAGTGTTTCCCAAAGCCCAAGGTGATGTCCTCAAATGTCTTGTTTTGTCCACAACCCCACAACAGATTCAGATACAGAGTCTGTATACAGATCGTATTTTAATACCAGGTTAAATGGGGTGTCAATTTACTGTTATAGAAAAGTAAAGAAACCAGGAAATATTCACATTTGGAAGCTGAAATCAGAGAATTTTTAAAAAAGGATTCAAAAGTGATTAATCAATTTTCAAAGTAGTTGGTGATTAATTTAACAGCGGACAACTAATCGATTAAGGGACTAATCGTCGCAGTTCTACTAGATTGTACTCTATATGAAAGGTTCCGTTGCTAGTTGTTTCACATCGGACTGTGCACACGGACCCCGGAAGCTGCGACGTCAACAGAATGAAATGAAAAGTGTTTGTTTCCTGGTTGAGAATACAAAATGAAAACCAAACATTACAGTTCAGTTGTCTTTGTATCTACCTGACATTGATTTGAACGTCAACAGGACGTTTAGCTTCATACTAACATGTTAGACATAAACGTTAACGAAGAGTAATGTTAACTGACACGCTAAAGTTACACATTAAAACCTTGTTTAAAACTGACTAACTTAAAAAAAAAGACTGCTGCTTCTTGTAGCCTTACCATTTAAACACCAAGTTTAACCACTCCGATATAGCTGTTACCCAAAGCACAGCTACTCCAGCTCGTTGGCTGATGAAATATGTGAAAGGAAAGACGAGCAGGAAGGATGCTTTGGGATCTCCGATATGTGTGACAACTAGCCACATTTTTTCTTGACTTATCGTCCTCTGCTGGAGACTTTCTGCCATCCAGATGCCCTGGGTGTAAACGGCCTCCATTCTTACGTCCTCTCATATATTTCGATAAAGATATAAATCAAAAAGCATTGATCTTGATTCGTTTGTACTTCAGGATGTGCTGCAGCAGAGGTTGCAGTACCGTCATCTCTCCGGTTGGGGGAGCACTTTAAATAAAAAGCGGTTGAAACCGTTGACAATCTAAAAGGGTTGAAAGCGAGACAAACCCACAACTTTCTTTGATGAATTAAATTATATTTCCATTTAATCTACAATCAAATCACTAAACAGACTATTTAATGATATAACGTGTAATTAAATGGTAAATATAATGGATTTTATTTAAATAAATGACCATAACGCAACGACGTACTTTGACACGCCCAAGTTCCGTCTCAATACGACGTCGCGTCGTTTTACGTAAGGCAGGCGCTCCGGTTTCCTGGCGGAGAAGATGGCGGCTCCTGGACCGGGGGAGTATTTCAGCGTCGGGAGCCATGTCTCTTGCCTCACCTGCTTGGGCCAACGTCTGCAAGGAGAAGTGGTCGCGTTTGACTACCAGTCCAAGATGTTAACTCTGAGTATCCTTTTGTTTGTGTCGAGTGGCGGGCGATTAGCTGGCCTGCCTGGCTGCAAGGGGCCTGTAGGGTAACCGAAAATATGTCAAATAGTGATCCGCGCAGGCGTAATTGGTGGTAGCTGAGTTACACATCTTTGTCCGTTTTAAATATTTTCATTTGCGAGATAGTTGCCATCCATCCCTCAAATGTTGATGACCCTGTTGATGGCGCAGGGTCGTTTCATGGCTTTACATTATCTGCTAGGGAGTGCATGTGTTTTGAATCCACTCATTGTATTGCCAGACCTCAACATGGATCACTATCTGGCAACGGATCCTAGTAAGGCATCATGGCTGTGTGCTCTCAACAGGCACCAACCGTTGCTAGTTAGCAAGCTAACTGACGTCCAGCGCAGCTCGCTGTAGCGTGTGTAACTTACAAAAATGTACCCCCACATGGGTTGTGAAGCCATTACTCGGTGATGCTAGCTGTTTTTCCAAAAAGCTAGTGATGAATGGATACCGAGTACGCTTCCACGCTACAATCAAGTTGCTGTTAGCTCGGCTAACATGCTAACTCTCGGTCAAACCCCACACTGCCGCTGCTGCTAGCTCAAATAAAGGTATTAGCATTGCCAAGCTTAATCAGCTGGGCTTCATCCTCTCTCTCACCCGATTCGGATGGCATTGTAAATGTTGGGTGATTATGGGATCGTTTATCCTACAGTTCTGTTTAATCTCCAGGATTCAGGTGACACAGGCATCATGAGTTCATTACAACCAGCGCTAGCATGCCGGTGTCTACACCCATTCAATGGCAAGCTGGGTCACCCCATGACTTACACTAACCTAAGTCTAAAGATTTAGTTAACGTCAACGCGGCCAAGCTGTGGGGTGACACCAAAAGAGTGAAGTTAATACAATGTGGAGGTTTGACAGTTGGTATCACAGGCCTTAATATTTAGTTTGAACGGTTTGACACTGATGTACCCTCCAAAATAAACTGAAGCTACAATAGTGTATTTCAGGAAAGCATTTTGAGTCAGGCAGTGTGTTAGAAAAGCCTGGACATTTACATGAAGCGTTCTTTTTCAGGTTTTTATACTGCCTTCCAGTCAAATTCGGATGTCGGAATTAGGTTATATTTAAAATTTCCCGACCTCCAACTGCTACAGGATGCATGAAACCAAAAGTAAACAACCGTGGCTGGCCATGACAAACTTGTGTTTCTTGTGTACACACAATTGGACTCTCGGCAGTGTCCTTGGTGTTCACTTAACATAAATATGTTGTTTGTTAACTGTGTCCTGTCTTGCTCCATCGATAGGTAATCTGTAAATGTTGTATATTCAGTAATTGTTTCACACTTCAAATTTTTCCCAAATGATGATGTTTTGCATCAGAACCACACTGACAAGTCTGATTAGTCAGGCCTGTTTTACTGACAGGGTAAGTGGGGTTGATGCTCTGGTTGGTCAGGGATTCTGAAAGCCACAGATTTATGAGAAGATACACTCACAAGCATTTCCTGTTACATTTTGTAATGTTTCTGTACATTCCTTCATAATTTTACCACTCAAAATGTTCTTCCTGGGGAAAATCAAGGACTTCAATCGAGCGTGCTTGAAGATCAGATTCCTCTGGTTTAGTTATTTTTTTTATCAGGTACTTAAAATAAGTCACGCTGCGGTTAAGTAATTTACTCAAAAGAAAATTAATTTAGTTGACGTTTCAGTACAGAAAGTCATTCAAAATCACTGAAAGTGAACACTTTACTGCTGTATGTATGTGCAAACGCTGTATATCCTTTTAACACACTTCTAACAAGACTTCATTCATCCATCTATTACTATAGGTGGCAGCACTGCCTTTGGTGGGCTCATGCTGTAACTGGCACCACCTTTCACCGTCCGTGTTAGTCAGCCAGTGTGCTCTGTATCATAAGCTTCTCTGTTCATTCTTACTGATGGTGTTCAAGTTCATCAGGGGTCAGATTTCTATAGTCAGTATTTGTTGTGGTGCGTTTTCATGAAGTTGTGTGCCTTGACTTGAGCTTTTTCAAAGAATGTGCTTCCTCCAGCGGTAAGCCAAACCTCAACGACGTCATCCTGATCAACTTAGCCTATGTTTCTGATGTGGACATAATAAATGACCGCACTGAGACTCCACCCCCACTAGCATCACTGAATGTTAGCAAGGTAAGTCCATCAATGTTGTTTTTGTCTGATTAATAAGTCAAAAGTTGTATACTGTAAGTGAGTGTAACCAAAAGCTCATTGTTTGGTCTGAGCTTTGACCCAGTTAAGGGGCTGGATCCCCCAGAAACATGTGGCCCACGAAGGCGGGTCCTTCCAGAATCTGAAGGCCACGCTGAGCTTGAAACTCTTCATACAAATGAGACAGTCTCACCTCACAGAGACCAAAACTAGTGGTGCATTCTGGCAATTTTTAGCAGCTTTAAAGTAAAAAAAATTCCAAGTCTGCAAATAATATTTAGAAAATGTGAGAAATTCTATTTCTGGAGTCTCCTATGGAGCAAAACATTGAGAGGAAGATGTGCTTGAATCATTAACCAAAACATGAAACTGTCCTGACATGTTCTTAATGCAAATAAGAAGCTGTTCAAAGCTGTCTGAATGTTTGATGTTAACAATGACTTTTTGTTCAAATCTTCACAGCTTGCCAATCGAGCACGGACAGAAAAAGAGGACAAACTGTCCCAAGCCTATGCAATCAGTGCTGGGGTTTCTGTGGAAGGCCAACAGCTATTCCAGACTATTCACAAAACGTAAGAACTTTGTATTATTATATGGTCAACAGTGAGGAGGAGGTATTTGCTAACTCTACTCAGTCTTCTACAAGGAAGTTTAAAAGTATCAGTACATGTGTGTCAGACAGTTGGAAGCACATAGTCTTTTGTTAGCAGATGAAATGATGCTGATATTCAAGTAACTTATGCAGACTTTCCTCTGCTTTTTTTTAAAGTTGTCACAAGCCAATCCGAAATTACCTGAACGCGACATTTTTATTCCTGAAAGGGACCCAGGGGAAGTCCGATACAGTTTGAAATGGACACAAGAATATTTAGACATGATCCAAAATACAGTCGAACCGGACACCAACACTGGCAGCAGCTTGATGTGCCACAACAAGCAGCTGCCATCAAAAGGAGTGAACTTTCTTTTGTACTTCACAGTTAAGACTCACTGTCTGCCTCAAAAAATATATTTTATTCTTGCAGTATGCAATACGATTGATGCTAATTGAGTCCCATGGCAATAGAGCGGGACAATACTCCCATTAGACTGAAAATAACACAAACAAGGCTTGACTCTGGTTCCGAGTTGGCTCGTAAAGACCTTTACCTCACCTCAGCCCAAGACTACAACAAAGTCTAAACAAAAATTTAAAATAAAACTTGTGGACAACAACAAAAAGGTGAAAATATATTGTAGGGGGGAATTAAAATGCATATTCTGAGAAGTCATTCCCCACATGTTTGACAGTGACAAATTGTGCTTTGAGGCAGATTGGCCTCCTTTAATCTGCCAAAACTCACAGTACAGTTATTTCCCCTCTGCCTGGATAAGTATTTTATTGCATTAAAATAATTTTTGATTTGTAAGTAAGCACCAGCATGTTTTGAGTGTGGCAGTGGAAACTAGGCTATAACTGTAACTGGTTTGTAGCTCTGTCAATCCAGTTAGAATATCACACAGCGGTGTCCAGTTTTGACGGACTAGAGCTGATTCCAGGCCGGTTCAATAGAGAGATAAAGAATTACACGAGGGACGAGGGGGGTGTGACTTAAACTGTACATTTACAGCTAAACCGAGGCTTATCGAGCATTTTCTCTCTGTTCGCCTGCCATTCACTGGTCTTGTGCCGAGTTCTGCAACATGTCACGCTTCCTCGCGGGTCTATTTGAAGAAAGAAATCTAATATTCTTTGTAGGGTTCATCAATGGTGATAAATGAGCAGAACGTCCTGCGAGGTGCGGACAACTCGGCAATACACCGGCGAAGTTGGGGCTCCTCTGCCACCATATACACACAGACACACGCAATGCCGACACATGCGCACTGACCCCTCTTCCTTAAGGGTTAGGGTTACAATTTGGATTTATTCACGCACTTTAAAAACATTTATTAAATGCTTCTTTGTTTTCATATTATTGTTATTTAAAGCATTATATGTTGAAATGTAAATTCTAATAGGCTGCATATTAACTTACTGGGTGAAAACTGGTAGTTCTATCAGACGTTAAGCACCCCCATATGATCCTCGTTACATAACGCCGCTGTGAGATTGACAGTCGAATCAGGCTCAGCCCATCGAAGCATCGACTATTTGGGATCAGCACTAGAAAAAACTGTTTTTATTTGATCTCGATGTAAACTTTCAAACAAAGTGCATGAATATTTTGCTGATCTTGAGATGACCAAACATTCAGAGAATTTCCTTCATATCTCCCGTGGCTGTCCGGGGGAAAAACTTGCTTTGTGTCAGATTTTAGTCTCAGATATCCGATCAGACACTATTTTAGCCCCATCTGAGACTGTTACTGGACACCTGTATGGGTGTTTCCCTACCTTGTGGGACCGATGCAACTTCAGCCATGGGTCACGCCATGAATAAATTAATCCTATTTCCTTTTGTGATTTGTGGTCATAATCATTCTGTACTCTACATAGTTTTCCTGTTTAACCAGTCAGATATTGAAGAGTCATTGAAAATCCTATTTTGTGTTCCAGGTCTCAAAAATTTGTTTCACTTTCACACAGTTACACCCCACATGACAAATATACTGATCAATTAACTTTAGCAGTTCAGCAGCCATATCCATCTATGCAACATATATGATAAAGAAATGGTCATATACTGTGTTTGGACAGCAGGAAGTCATAACCAAGTGAATGAAATATTTTGCTGAGAATGGAGATAAATATGTGTGGGGAGGGCTAGTAAGAATATCATTCCTGTTGTTACATTGTTTCTTCAAACAGCCGCAGATAAGATGATCTTAATTTTTTGTTTGCAGCATCAAAGACTGTAAATGGCAGGAGAAGAACATTATTGTGATGGACGACGTCGTAATCTCACCGCCTTACCAGGTTGAGAACTGCAAAGGCAAAGAGGGAAGCGCTTTAAGTCATGTACGCAAAATAGTAAGTATGCTTTATATCTATACAATATTTCACCAATAATACATAGTTGCAGGCTTTACAGATAAAAGTAATGAGTATTTTCACTATGTATCAGTTTGCAGATTATATTATCTTTCATTAGTTGTCTATGTAATGCCGATCATATTTCTCAGAGCCCAAGGTTTTTTATTTTTTTTTCCATCCTGACAGTCCAAAATCCAAAGATATATTTAATTTAACAGTTAAATACAACTCACATTTGGGAAGCTGGAACCAGCGAATGTTTGGCATTTTTGCTTGAAAAATATTAAACATGAATCGACCATTAAAATAGTTGTCAACCAATTTGCTGTTTATTGACTAATCAAATAATTTTTTGAGCTCTACGTGGCAGAATAATCGTACATCATACTGCACATTTGAGACCCTTTCCTGGAAGGTATTCAGTGTTGTACTACAAATAAAGTGTCAGAAGTAGTTGTGAATGAAAGAAGGGGCCTAGAGAGAAAAGTTCAAGCTTGCTTTCTCACCTCCTTCAGTTCTGGTGACACTGAAGAAACCTCTCGGATGTTAGGTGAAACATCTTCAGGTATCTTTAACAAAGTCCAGTTGCCCTTGATTTTTAACCTTCCTTGGATAACTATGAACTGGGAGACTGAGAATATTCAGACAGTTACTACATAGCTGTATTTTATATACCACTGTGATTGTTATGATTATTTTGATACAAGATTTGTAAAACGTCATGGCCTGCTTCACTGTTATCTGTGGTGCGCTGTGTGAAATGACAACACGACACTCAAATTTGGCATCAAAGTTTAATGGGCTCCTAAAGTGCTCCTTGTTTAGAGAAATATGTTTTAGGGTTGGTTGTCACAGAATTGGTGTCCATATTGTTCATTAATGTTGTTTTTTCATCGTTGCAGGTTGAGAAACATTTTAGAGACGTGGAAAGTCAGAAGTCCGTGCAACGTTCACAAGCACAGCAAACACAGAAGGACTCCACTTTATCTTCTTGAGTTGGCAGTGTGGGTCGACCGGGGAAGGCGACGCGGGTGGTTTTGTTCCCACTGCCAGACTTAAGTCGGCATTCCTTGTCCTCAGTCTGAGACCACAAGGAGGAGCGCTGAGGGCCCTGGATCCAGAAGATCAAAATACCATTAAATGAAAAAGACAAAAAAGAAAGAGGAAAGATTAAATCTTAAATTAGACTTTATAAAGAATAATTTAAACATGAACCATAAAGCAACCATAGTTTCCTTAACTAACTTGTCTCATTCTGCCCCACTCCTCCCCCCTGTCCCTGAAACCTTTTCTTTTTCCACCCTCCTTCCTTTGCCTTCAGTTCCATTTCAAAAAGAGAAAACTAGAGCAGTCAGAAAGGCTTGTTAGCTTTATTTTCTGTCATTGTTTCCTTTTTTGCTGTATCCATGTTCTACTGTCTGTATTTTCTGTATTTTAAACAAAATGTGACTTGAAACGCCACACTTTAAAGGACATTTTCTAAAATAAAAGTAACAAAAATTCTGACTGTAATACTGTAATTTTCCACCACTTTTTGAAGAGCTCTTTCATAAACAGATTATGCGATCACTTTCTTGGTTTTAATAATCGGTATCACTGAAAATGTGTCAGCTATGGGACACATTCAATGGTTAGAATACGAAGCTTGCATATTTGTGGTTTGCTTGAAAACTCGACATGTGACCATCACAGTTGTCGTAACTCCAAGGTGCCACATCGTCCTCAGTTTTGAGCAGATGAGGTTTTTATGGACAATGTGTTCGGGTTTCTTTTTCAAGGATTGTTTGGTAGCCTTGTAATGCAGCCATGTAATTACAGGGACTTGAAGCCAACACATTTTCAATTAATTATTTAAATATCTTAAGCCTCTGGTTTCTCTAAAGCTGTTTGATTACTGCTGTCCTCTGCGCTCTCCACAGTAAATCAGCAGTGTGAAATCTTTTTATTAAAATATGTAGTTTCCAAAGTTATCTGAATACTGCTAGACTTGTGTGTAAAATACTTAAGAAGAGGAGCGATTTCTATGCTTTTGTGTAGAAGTACAGCTCAATTTCAGGTATTTATTTCATTATTTTCGTTGAGTTAATCTTGAGATTATTTTCTGGATTAATTTGTTTTGTCTGTAAAATGTCAAAATAGTGAAATTGCATTTTCTCAAAGCTAAAGTTGATTAAATGTAATTTCTTGTTTTGTCTGACAGTACAAACCCAAAAAATATTAAATTTATTTTCAAAACAAGGTCAAGGAAAACATGGACACACATTTGAGAAGCTGTTACCAGAGAATTTTGCATAGAAAATGGTTGATTAATTACAGTATTAGAAGTTAATTTTTTTTTTTTTTTTACATTTTTAATGGTGAACACTTTTGTTATTAGAAATAATTGATTGTTTTGAAAACAAAAGATTCACACGATTTAGTTACAAAAAATTCATATGTTACGTAATGTGATGCAGAAATCTGAACATAAGTAACTTAAAAAAAGAAGCCTTGTATCCAAATGCAGAAGCAGATGTGTAAATCCTTATTTTAGGAAAGGGTCCAAAACAGACCAGGTTTGTTCCCCAGATATGGTTGTGTTTGAGATTATCTGTTTAAAACCATAATCCCTTTTTAATCAGGAATATTTGACGTCTGCTCATAGGGAGTTTACTGACATGACATCAATATCGTGCCATTGAAACATGTTCTTTTGGTTTCTACATGTATTTTGCTCTGAGGGAAGCATACAAGGGGGTAACCATGCCTTTCAGCAGGAATGATGTCACGCTGATCTAAACAAAAGATGCCTGCCGGTGGCTGCACACTGCTCAGCGTGATGCCTCTGCCTATTCTTCTTAACACGGTGTTGGGCTTCCAGCTGTGTCCCAGCCACTGCCTGTGCTACGAATCCTCCGACCTGGTGGATTGCCAGTCTCGTGGTCTGGTCCAGGTACCCCCCAGTGTCCCCCATGGCACCTGGCTGCTGGACTTGAGAGGGAACAAGATGACTGAGGTACGCACCGGATCCTTCATAGGGCTGTGGTCTCTCAAGGTCCTCCTGATGTCCAACAACAGCATCCAAACTCTGCAGCCACAGGTACCAAACATGAGAACTGCGTTTACGTTGTTTTAGAGCAGTATTTAGATTCATTATTTAAGTAAAAGTAATAATATAGTGCAAATTCTCAGTTACATATAAAAATCCTGTATTCTGTAAGTATTGTAGTTCCACGTATTTGGAGCTAAATGTGCTTAAAATATCAAAAATTGTCCTGTGTAAGTGTTACATTACTATGTATTTTATCAGTCACATTAACTGGCAACAACTTTGATCTTTCATGTAAAAATATTTAATGGTTGCACTCAAAATAATTCAAAATGAGCTCCCCCTCAACAATTACAACAGTAAAATCCTGTTTTTATATTAATATTATAATAAAAATAATCGAATATATAATAGTGTAACAACAGTCAAGGGACATTTTTCTTTCTGCAGTGAGTACTCGTAATAACTTTAGTACATTATCCTAATTATACTTACATACTTTTACTTTGGTAACATCTTCAATGCAGGACTTTTACTTGTATTTTTACATTATATATATATACGTTATATTAGTACTTTTACTTAGGTAAAGGATCTGAATACTTTGTTTACCCCTGACACACACACACAACTGAGTAACTTGAATTATTATTGAAAGTGCAACCTGTTTACAGTGAATGCCGTTGTTTAATAAATAGAGAAGCCTATTTTTAAATTACATATAAAAACAGAAAAGCAGCGAATCATCACAATCGAGAAGCTAAAATGAGAAAAACTTTCACACTAATGCTTTATTAATGACAATATTTTTTCTGAAAACTGATTACATCTTTCAGCTTTACATTGAAATAAATGTAGTGGAGTCAAACGTACATAGAAAACATACATTTTAAATATTTTTTTGTAAATTTCTATGTTATACTCATGATAATTGACTTTTGCAGTATTTGTTTTCTCTTTTCTCATACAATGTTTCTGTGACCATTATGCATCAAAAAGATTCCTTTGCAGTAAAAACCTACTTGGCAGGAAACCAAATTCTGATTCTGGTATTCGCCCCTGAAATGTAGGGGAGAATAAAATCACATAAAACAGTAATACTCAAGGAAGTTCCTCCAAATTGTACTTGTACTTATTTCACATTTTATGATCTATTTCCACCTTTCAGTCTCTGTCATCACTGCAGTTTCTGGAGAGGCTGGACCTGAGTTTTAACCAGCTGCGTTGGCTCCCTCTGGCCTTCTCTCAGAGTCTGTCCTCCCTCCAGGAGCTCCGGCTGGACCACAACCTGCTGCAGCACTTGGACTCTGCTTCACTGAGTGAGTTTGAAAACCTGAGGAAACTGGACCTCAGTTACAACCGCATCCGGGCCATGGATGTCAGGGCTTTCAGCAGCCTGGTTCGACTGAGCCTCCTCAACCTGGAAGGAAACCGGCTGAATGTGCTTAAAGATGGCCTGTTGAGCAGGCAGCAAAGCCTGGAGGTGCTGCTGCTCAGCCACAACAACATCTCAGTGATAGAGCCGGAAGCCCTAGCTCCTTTGCGGAGTCTGACCCTGCTGGGTCTCCAGGGAAATCAGATGGTGCACATCAGATTCAAGACCTTCATGAAACTCCAGACCACCACCACCCACCTTCAGATGTCCTCCAACCCATGGACCTGCGACTGTGAGCTCCAGCGCGTCTTCAGCAAGATCCAGCATGTTCGACGACTGCACGTGTTCGACTACAAGGATATCGTCTGTCATGCTCCTGCTCAGCAAGCCGGGAGCTCCCTGGCCTCGCTGGACAGCCAGCTGTGTATTGCTGAGACGGCATCTGTGCTCGTCATCACCATCACCGTGATGCTCGCTGTGATTGGTGCCCTGGTCAAAGCAGAGCACAACCGCAAGAACAAACAAACTGTAAGTGATGCAGAGTCAGAGAGACAAGAAAAATGATGTTTTATTCATGACCAGGTGTTCTGAAGACTGAGATGTGGGCTGGTACTGGATGTTGTTGCACAATAGGTTGTGATCAACCACACAAGATTATGTTTTAATCAGCCCCTAGACAACATGGTCTGACTTCAATTCTATACATCACCGTGGTGGACGAGGTATTTAGATCCTTTATTTATGTAAAAGTACTAATACCTCACTGAAAAAATACTCTGTTACAAGTAAAATTACAGCATTGAAAATGTTACTTAAGTAAAATTATGTAAGTATAATCAGGAAAATCTCCCTTGTGAATGTTATACTAATGTTAAATCATGAGATTATTATTACTCTAATCCAACTATTTTGTATCAGACTGCAACTAATAATTATTTTCATTATAAAATCATCTGCTGATTATTTTCTCCATTGAGCGATTGTTTATAAAAATTTTGAAGATAGTGATGGCGTCAGTTACCCAGAGCCCAAAGTGACACCTTCATTATGCTTTGTTTTGTCCAACCTTTAACATTATTAACACTACATTCAAATTATTAAAATAAAAAGCAGCAAATCAAAGAAATGTTTTTTAACATGAAAAATTTATTCAACAATCAAAATAGTTGTCAATTAATTTTCTGTCAAACGATTAATCATTTCAGCTGTACTTGTATAAACTGTTGGGGAGTTTAATTTATAACAAAACATCATATTTTATAAACTCTTCATATGTTTTGTGTGTAAAAAGCTTAATATGTCAAGTAACCACTAAAGCTGTTAGATGAACGTAGTGAAATAAAAAGTACAATTTCTCCCTTTAAATTGTAGTGGAGTAGAAGTAGAAAGTGGCATGAAGAGAAAACACTCAAGTAAAGTACAGGTACCTCAAATGTATACTGAAGTACAGTACTTCAGTAAATGTATTTAGTTACTGTCCACCACTGCCTTTTAAAAATTTCTTTGAATTACCTTGATTTCCTGCTATGTCTATGCCTGCAATGAGAGAGGAGGGAAAAGATAAAAAGTACAGAATAGCCCTTTAGAAGGAGAGAAATTTGTTCCTTCCAGCTCTATAGGTTTGCAACAACAAACAATACGATTACCTTTAAAATTTGCACACACTTTTAAACGCCCGAGGTCCAATATTAATTTTTAATATTTGGAAAGGGCTTTGCTACCCTGAAAAGCAGCTCTGAAAAGGTATTTCTATGTAGGTGTGGTAATTAGTACAAGTTAGTGTGAGTGCGTCAAACATTTTTGAAATTTCTCTTACCAGTTAACACCCTTGAGCATTTGGGGAACTGGTTGCATTCCAGTATCTGATTTTTCTTGTTGATAAGCTATTGTTATGGTTGTGAAATAATACAAGTGATGTCAAGAGTCACACCATGACAGTCGCCTTATTACTAGTCGTTAATTAAAGCTCAAAGGTGAAGTGTCTCCTTTAGTCGCAAGATCTTCACACAGTTGCCCTTTATTAGTTATACCTTTCTAAAACTAATGCAGTCTAACACAACAGCAGATGAAGGTTATAACATTTGGTTTTTGTTCAAACAGGTGTTTATTCAACATAATGGTCATAGCAGAGGCTGCTGTTTGTGGTGCTGTTGAATTTTATTATTTTACACTGACTACACTGTTTTTAATATTTTGCCCACCCCATTTATGTCATTGAGGGTAGGCTAACAGAATGTCCTGTCAACACAATACAGTTCAGCAGCACCACAAACTCCAGTGTCCAAAATGACCAGTGTGTTGATCAACACATCTCTAAAACAGTTTGAACAAAAACATAATAACCTTCATCAAGTTAGGACTGTTGTAATAGAGGGCATTTAGTTTTAGCTCAAACTAAACTGGCAACTGAGTGTATAATCATAGATTGTTAATCTATAAATTCACAAAGCATCAGCTACATTCAGCCTTTCATCTTGTGCAACACTGAGGTGGTCATAGATGTTAAAAGAAAACAGCATTGCAGTATAATTCAGTGAAATGAAGCAACAAAATTTTAATGATCAAAATACTCAAGCATGGAAAACGATCATCAGCATTTTGTGCACCATCATGTAATGTTATTTCATATAAAATATGAACAGTATTTACACAGAAGATAAAGGAGCGGTGCTTATTTAATTTAATGAAATAAAGTGAATTGAATAAACAAGTGTTTATTACCAAATGGCTGTAACTGTAGCTCAACTGTAAGTTCATAGACAATACAATATAGGTTAAATTTTAAGTTCCCTTTATTTGTAAACTATATACTGTAAAACATTATTGAACCATTTAAGACTATAATTTTTGGAGTAAAAGGTATTTCCTCTGTAAATATACAGAATCGATACTCATTGTCATGTTTCAGAGCATAACAGAGACAAAGATGTAAACATGAATCTGAATAAATTATTCAATTGAAAAAGGAAGCTTGTGTTTTTTTTCTTTTTCTTGAAAAAGCAAAGTTACCGACTGGTAGGCAAAGACAATCAACGCTGCTCACATCTAACAGTCTCAGCTTGGAGTGTTGAATCCTGAGAGGTCACTGAGCGACCGTAGCTTGGAGTACAAAGTTGGGTGGCGATGTAAAGGCCAACAATCTCATCGTGCGCAGACACCTTGGTCTGTAAAAGTTGTTTGTGAGAGCCCAAGGGTTCAACCATCAGTTGCCAGGATTAGCACAGCGCCTAAGATGCCCACGTTATGTCCAATCAGCTTCATCTGGTTCCAGAACTCCACCTTGCGGTTGTTGTGCCAGTAGCCCAGGTTGCCGTCGATGAGCAGGATCACCAGAGGCAGGACGGTGGCTAGGATCTGAGCGGCCAGGCGGATGTAGCAGCCAGAGAGGAAGGCCAGAGCCAACACCCCAAACAGCACCTCCAGCAGCATCAGAGTGATCTCTCCTCCCACGATGTGGTTTAGATAGGCCTGCCGGTCTTCTTTGCTGTGCTGGAGGGAGTACACCTAGTGGGGGAAAGTGGTACTGTTGTTTAAAAATGACTGAAAACAGGCTTTGGTTTGTACACTCTGCTTTTACTTTTTGTTGTGAAGAATGCATCATAGAATAAGGTGTGATTCATTCAACATGTGCAGAAATAAAGTGCCTGAAGCCTTATTCTCATTCATGTGAATGATGACAATGTGGTTTATTCTTATTTTGACTTTCAAGTGTCAGAATTTCTTATTGAGCCTAACCACGTACAAATAATTAATAATACAGACACAGGTCTTACCATGCAGATGAGGTAGACTCCCAGGAAAACTTGTCCAGTAGACTGCAGGGATCTGCTGCGAGGTTTCTGTCTGTACACCTCCCCTGCCCCACTGGCCAGAACCAGGAAGCCTCCAATAATGGCCAGCGCTCTGGAATACATTCGTACCTGCAGGGCAAAATCGTTCTGGCTGAAATAACCTAAGACAAGTTTCTAATACAATGCCAATCTCTGATAAAACAATCTTCTTTCAGACTTCTAATGGCAGCCTGCCCCAGATCCATTTTTCCCTTGTGTGAGACATCTGTTTTTAACGTCGACACTAATCTGGGCCACTTTCACATTTTTCTAAAACTGATACATGACCGACCTGTCTGAACATTCAGACAGGTAGAAATGCTGCTTTATTGCAAACAAAACTGAAACAAGTGCTTGTTTAAAAGCATTTTAAAAGAGATGGTTGATTTGAATTGTTCAAGGCAGCTGTAATGTCAATGCAAAGAGCCTTGAAAATAACCTCTAAGGAAAGAATCTCTTATCAAAAGGACTAATAATTATCAAAGAAATTTCTATTACAGCTAGTCTCATTTTAATTCATATAAAGAAGAAACCTTAAGGAAGTAAATAATACTAGATTTTTTTTATTGTTTGTTGTATATTTATTTTTTTTACGTTTATTCATTTAATGTTAATTGGATCAGCTACTTTATGTGCTTATAATGCAATAATTTCTTCAATTATTTACAGTAAGGGCGTTGTCTTGCTGCATTGTGATCTTTGTGTTGGAAAAAATGCATAAAAAAACAAAACTTGAATTACAAAAAGAAAAAGGTACAAACAACTACCCTTACCTGCTATGGATGTTGACACTCAAATTGCCTAAAATACATTTTTGTTTCTCATGATTTGTGGAAACATGTTGACCATATTATCATCACGTGAAACAGAACAGCAGCTTTGTTACTGTAAACCACAGTGGGGGACTCACCTTCAGCCAGTCACCGTAGAACACCTGTTCTCCAACATAGGATGCGTATGTGCTGACGGCCAGTTGTATGGCAGCGGCCATTGCAAACCACCTCCTCTTCACCCCAAATGACATGAAGCTGGCGCAGAGCACTGCAGCCCCCATGTCCACATACAGGTATGGTACATGGATGTCTGGCTTCCTGAGATGACAATAAATCAGCTTGAAATCAAAGTGAATTATTTCAATTTAGACTGCTTTAATTTTAGTACGTTGCACATTGTTACCTCTCATACTTTGTTAGAATGGAAATCGCAAACAACTAACATGAAGCTGTAAAAACTACATGAAAGCAATTAAAAATAATAATCAAAATAAATTACGACATTTTTGGTAAACTAATCCTTTCAGCCCAACACCAATTCATTTTGACACCTAGATGACACTTAAGAAGCAGGCAGTATGAAAAAGGCTGCACACATTTCCCCTTGAAGTTGCTATATGTGATTACAGAATAATTCAGAGAGGTGTGGTTGCCTTAGGCCAACCAACCACAGATTTAAAACAATACACGCCCAGTGTACATAAAACCATGATTACTAACAGAAAAGAATTACAGCCTGTCCCCCTGTCCGACTGAAAATTACAGACTAGGCCAAATACAACATGTCATTTTGATTTAAACAACTCCATATGGCTGCATCTTTCTCCCTTAGGTTTAACTAGTGTAACTGCTGAAATACAACTCCTGTTTGTCTGTTGTGTATGACAAGGTAGTCTAGCACATATGTTTTCCATTGTAATGTAATGTAACCTGCTCTATACATTGCATAGACAATAATCTTGTAATAATAATAATAATATTTTTTTTGTTTTTGTGCACGTTTGACGCAGACTGAGATTACAGTTAGCTAACGAGCTAGCTATTTTACAGCGTCCTTTGCGCTCACTCATCTTACCTTTTTGAGTCCGCTCGTTCAGCAAACAGCATCAACATGCTGAAGCAGTTCCAAAACCCGAACCGGGTTAAAATAAACGCTCCTAACTGGCTGAGAAATTTTAACGTCTGTTTCCTGCTGGGAGCTGCCATTGTTACTGCAACTCTATCCTGCCAACGACACTGCAGGTACTCAAAGGACTTCCGGCCGAAATACATCCACGTGTCGAAATAAAAGCACGTATCTTTCTACTGTATAAAATGTATCATTCCTTTAAACACTGGTGCTCTTATTTTGAAAAGAGTTTCAGCTCTAGCTCGAAGACGTCCTCCTATTGGTTGACGGATTGAAGTGGCGGGATCATCATAGACCGTTAACTGCGGGACAGACGCGTTCATGGGAGTAGGAGAAAAGATAGACGGCACCACCTGCAGGAGAAAGTAAATCACAGATATTTTACAGGGCTGCATTTTTCTATCTGATAGCGTCTGACAACGTTATGGAAAGGATCCCTACAGAGATAGACATGGTTTTAAAGTGCAAGATCCTTTCTATTTAACCTGAAACAGTCGCTATGTCGCCATCAGACTCCTTGGACAGAAGTACTTTTATTACTTCTGAAGTCTACTAATGCCTCGATCGCTCAGTTTGCGTTATTGTGTGACTTTGTAGTTTTTAAGCCTTTACAATGGGGAACTTTGGACTCTTGACCTCAGTGTTTCTAAAATCTTGGCTGCTCTGGTTATGAGCAATTGTCTTTATTTTCCTACAGACTTAATGATGTCAAGTACGTCCTCCAGCTTCTGTTTGCCACTGACAAGGCTCAGATTGTTATTATTATAGTGTAAGTGTATAGTGTCACATTTAGCCTAATTACTGCTAAGTTGTAAACTTTCATTTCGTTATAGTCTACAATCGTGTGTTGTATATAAAGAAACTACCTTGATATATTGATTTTTGTTTAACCAGAAAATATATCGCTCTTTTCAAAGCCACCAGACCCCATTGATAAAAAATGTAATTTTATTTCGCATAACACTGGTTAGTTTGTGTTATTGTGTGACCTTGGATGCTGTTAGCCCTATTTTAGGGGGGGCTGAAGCTAGAATTTAACTTTCTGCATTCATCGGCTTTAATAAATAAAATAAATATGCTGTTGACTAAATGTAGGCTAGAGCCCACAGATATACACACATGAAAATATAGTAAAATGAAAGCAAGCATACATACATGCATCGCTATTGTAATCGTAACTCTAAATCCTTTATTACTTCGACCTTCAAGTTATTAAATTCAGACAGCAGCCACTTTAAATAGGATCCCTAATAATAGCTTACATGATAAAGTATTTATTGTATGCTTATGCAAGCCAAACTACAGAACAAAATCACACTGTGATTGAACCAAGCTACAGTGCAGTAACAGTAATTAGTCTAATTAAATAGCATTCTATGGACCTAGAACTTATCTAATAGAGAGAGGAATTAGATATGGTATTACTGTATCACAGATTTACAAGAGCACCTGGATAGCATTTAAGTCACAGCCTACAGAGGAACTCAGAGTCTGGCCGAAGTAAATTCAATCAAACGGCAACTGAAAAAAGTCTGTAAACTTTTCCCACATTTTCTGTATAGTAAAACAACTGACTATTTTTACAGCAAATGTTATCACCATAATTATTTTCTAATGCTTTTTCAAACAATGCGAGGAATCTAGTTATGGAGGAAAAATACAAATCTTGTTGTTTTAATTCATGTTTTTGATTAAGATTTTTTACTCAAAAAGAAATTAACTCATAATACACTATTAATCCATATTGATAATTATTAGTTTATAATGAATTAACACAGTTTTTATTTGTGTAATTTATGTATATATTTTTATTGTTTTATTCACTAACACTAATGAACATGTAAACAGCTATTTTCATCTGTCCTTGGACAGATGTTACAAAGTCATCCTAAAGAAGAACATAAGATTAAGATCACAAAAGTTACTATAATTTTCAAGCATACAGAGCAATAAAAAAGTGAATATTAAAATTATTGCTACATTGTCAGGTACTAAATAAAACGTGCAACACAGAGGCACATAATACAGGACATGAAAAGCAATTAATTTGGTAATATTACTTGTGTAACCATAAACCTCTAATAATTAGGGTCTTTAAAACCAACCAAATCCCTGATGTATCTTGCTTGTTTTGTCCAGATATTCAATTTACAAGACATATACATATATATAGATAGATAGATAGATAGATAGATAGATAGATAGATAGATAGATAGATAGATAGATAGATAGATATGTATGTATGTATACACACTACATATAGAGATATATAAAGAGAGAGTTAATTAATCAGTTCTCAATTATTAAAAATTATTGTCAATTAATTATGCACTGATCAAGTAATTGATTTATCATTTCAGCACTCCCCCCCACATATACACACGCATCAGTCTCAGTGAGACACCCTATCACATTCAGTTTGACAATGAAAGTGATTCAACGTATGGAATAAAAATAAGACACATCAATGGGGGCGGGAGTTTTTCATCAGGTGCTCTGTAACACACCAGGCCTTGATAATGAGCAGGAGTGTCTCCACATGGCGGCTGATCCACAGTGACGTTTCTCGGGTTAATCTTGAGTAGATGAGACTAACCCAGATCCTGAAAATGGCTTAGTGTGAGTCCTGCTGAAGGTTTAGTTAAGGATCAGGAGCATGTCATGTCTCAGATGAAATGTCAGTTGGAGGTTGTTGGGGTAGAGTAGCAGGACTACTGTAGTTTCACAGGACAACCTTCAACCTCAGGCTAAAGTTACGTACTTCACATTGAACACCCTTAGTAACACAAATCTTCATGTTCACCTGAGCTTTGCTTTTTCTATTTATATACATGAAAAATCATTTTGATGCTGTCAGCCCAATAACCCTCCATACATCCATAAACTATACCTGACTATCCTGTGCACTGTCGCAGGGGGCTGGAGGCTGAAACCTATCCCTGGTTACACTGGGTGTATCCATGGAGGTGGGTTATACCATGGACAGATCGGCGGTCTATCGCAGGGATAACATATACTGTATATAGAAAGACATCTATTCATACTTCCATTTACATCCACGGGTACTATAAAGTCTCCAGTTCACCTAACCTGAATGTGTTTCAACCGTGGGGGAAATCCATGCAGACACAGGGACAACACACAAACTCCACATGAAAAGGTTAAAAAAAGGGCAGTGGATTTAAACTCAGGACTTCTTTTGAAGAAGGGACAGTGCTTACCACTGAACTGCCCACAATAAATGACAAATAACCTGAGCTTACTGTTAAAAGAATACATATGCAACAATACTCAACAATCATATATTAATCTATGCACCAAGCACAAATGAGTGACCGCAAAGAGACACTGAGCAGGAATTAATTTATTCATAAATGATGTGACATATAAAGTGGCTGTAGCTTTTTTCAAGTCTTCAATTTGTTAATTAGAATGACATTGCAAGACTTAGAGCAGCTGATTAGATAGACCGCAAGATTAAAGTTTATAATCAAATCACAGGGGTGAAGACTTAGCTTCCCTCCTCTCTTACCACACATGTCCACCTTTATTGTGAATATTGTTTTTTCACTTGGTTGACATACTAAAGCAAAAACAAAATGCTGCTGGTTACCAGTGGAAAAATAAGTAAAATTAATGGATTATATATTTAAAATAGCAGTGAAAAGTAATTGAGAAACAAGTTAAGTCAACCACAGCATATAGGTATGTGTACTGCAGTTTACAGTTAGTAACAGGTGATGTGACGTTCACACGTCTATTGTTTTATTTCAGCGTCTCCATTTCTCCACCACGTCGTCAGCAGATCTGTCAAGTTCTGTGTTCTCTTCCCTCCCTCCTTCCTGATCAGGGGTCATGGCTCCTGATTGTTTAATCTCATCACAGGGGATTGGTGACATCAGGTCCAATCCTGTGCCGACCTCTCCCCAAAGCGCGTAGCCGGGATCAGCTGGGATGAAGAGCAGTGGGACAGCACGGATCAGTCAGTGTGAAGACGCGACCGAACAAGAAGAAGGCAAACTGTCGATGAGCTCCTAGGAGCCAAAACATTTCTCTGATTGTTGGGGATCCCACCATTCAACAGGTAAAGTTTTACAACAGAGACATTTGTCTATCCTGGATTTACATTTATTTTGTCAAAGGAGCGTTTTTAAAAAACCAAAGTACTTTTGTATTTAGTATTTATTGTGACATTTTAGCATTTTGATCTTTATTTCCTCTTACAGCCAGGATGGCTCGGGATATGTCAGATAAGGACATCTTGAAAATGGAGCTGGAACAGTTGAAAAAGGAAGTGAACACACCCAGAACACCAGTAAGTAAATTACCTCTTAAAAAAAAAACAGAATGTCACCTTTTTTCGCCATCGATTGTGAACTATATGTCCAAAATTATCTTTAATTTTATCTACCAAAAACCTCTTGTATTATTTGGGAATAAATGCTTAATGAATTTGTAAGCTGCAAGTTTAAATTTCCAATTTAGATTTCCATCTTTGTGCCTGTGAAAAGACACTTTAGTTTGTTAAGCTTACATGTGTTTTCATCTTTCCTCTGAACAACAGGTGGCTGCAAACTGTGCAGAAACGGTTTCTATGGTTGAGGGACTGTTACCAAATGATCCGCTGATTAAGGGCGTTCCAGATGACAAGAACCCCTACAAGGGAGACAAGGGAGGCTGTATAGTGACATAGCACACAGACATCCAAGGAAAAGTCACAATGTTTTTTATGAGAGCTGGTTACGTTGCTATGTTTCCGTAGAATTCTTGTGGATAAAATGTACAGTAGTAAGAAAACTAAGATCTGTAATGGTATTGCTACCAGGAGAGAGACTCTTTTCCATCACTGGATTACCGAATGTACCTGTTGATATCAAAATGTTTCATTGTCAATTTGTAATTAAATGCAAATAGCTGTATAAAGCTTTGACCAGACATGGCTGCTCTCATTATTGATATATATATATTAGCATATCTCCTTTTTATAGCACTCCTACTGCCCTTTCATCACATAATATCATACTGGTTAATATTCAATAGGGTTGATTGACTGCGTAGTTTGGTGTCCAACATCTCAGACTGCAAATCAGCACAAAGCAGGGCAAAGTCACAGGAGTCATGCAGCTACTGCTTAGTCTAATTCTTAATAGGATTTCTTTGCTGCAGCACAGTCAGTCACACTGGCCTGTAAACACAGAGCTGCTTCCTGTTTCCAAGTCTTATTAAGCTTATTCCAGCAGCTTCATCCCGGCTTTTGAGCTCTCCATCCAATTAGTGTCATTTTAAATGCGTGCGACAACAAACACACATAATTTGTTCAACCTCTGCAACACAGCTTTCATCTAAGATTGTAAAACAAACACAAATGACTTCATGCTGCATTAAACACTTTTCAGTTCAATGACCTTAGGTAGCACATATCAGCACCTTTGCACAACTTAGCTGTTTTCATGTATATAGTGACTTACTTATCATCTCTTATCATTTAGATGCCCTTGATCAATAGTTTCCTTCAAAGTTAAAGTTTGAAGGTCAAAACAACCTTTCAATTTTAAGCACTGGCACCTCAGCACTGGTGACAAACATGTAACATCAGATGATTAAAAATCTGTATATAGCTCTTTTGAGGCTTCTGAGATTATAGAGACAAGCAAAATAGCATACTTCTTAAACAGAAACTCCATTGGTTTTTAACAGTGATGTCTATTTACAGGTCCTGGGGAGTACTACTCTATTATGAAAAAGTTGTATAAAGACATATTAATTGTTGCTTGGGTCTGAACATTTGGAAATTTAACGTGTGGGGGTGTGGCGTAAATTGACTATTGTAAGTCATACATAACATAACATAACAGATGTGCAATGCTGAATCGCAGAGTACACTTTTAAACTATTACAGACACCACTATTATGAATTGGTTGTGGCATGGGTGTTATATTTCATGACATCTCAATACCAGGAACAGGAAATGGGGCGTCTAAATGGAACTGAGCCATCATTTATGTTAATCATTACACCAGTGATCTTGTCTGCTGTCAAAATGTCTTCTGTGAAAAAGGTCAATTGAATAGAGGAAAAAGATTAGTTGGAAAATGCTAATTTTAGTTATACATTTATAGTATTTTGAGAACACTGAAAACCAATGAACTTCAATAGACTTCTCACCCAAGAGCCATTCTGACCTGTCAACAGGTGTAACCAACCACATTACTAATAGCTGCATTCAATTCAGGTTCAGGACACACGTAAACAGAGCCACCATTATTTTTTTAGTTACACCTGTGCTTTTCCTGTTGTGAAGTCAAAATGTCTTCCATAAGCTTAGTTCTAAGTTTACATTTTTGGCTGTCAGATCTTCAAATTCATTGGGACCAACACATCAGCTTGTCCTGCGATGGACTGGCGACCTGTCCAAGGTGTACCCCGCCTTTCGCCCGATGTAAGCTGGGATTGGCTCCTGCCCCCCGCGACCCTGTACACAGGATAAGCGGTTGACGATGGATGGATGGATGGACATCAGCTTGTTGTTGTGGTTCAGATAATCGCTGGCTTCAGAGTAATTCTATGGCTCAAAGTCAACTGAATTAGTATATAATCTGAGTACAGAGTCCATGCATAGACTACATGACATGACAGTGCAGTAAAAAAAACAACTGTGTTATAACATAGATCATGACTGAACATTTATGTTTATCATCACAGGAGAAGAATGTTGTTGATATGGTAGGACAATTCTAGTGTTATTAGATTAATTTGTAGAGTGAAATGTCTTGATTTCTACCACTTAAAAAAAAGGTTTAGGCCTCAATGCTTCCCCAAAGACACCGACTCACCTTATCAGACTTGAAAAGCTGTAACTCAGTTATTCCACTCACCTGCACTGCTGTAAAGACATAAAACTGGACACTGAATGTATAAAGTCTAGATCGACTTGTCACCAGTTTATTCTTTATCTTAATTGCCTTATCAGATAAGAGCAGGTATGGATACATCTAATCTATGTTTCCTATTAGCTTGTTGGAGTGGCCGAATTATCATACACGTAAAGGAGGAAAACAATGTGTCATAACCTTCAGATCACAACCTTAAGTGTTATAATTCTAGACATCTGAACAGGCAACACGACAAAGCAAATATAACAAAATCGATTTTAAAAAAAGAGTAGTGATGAAAATTTGTAGCACCCACTCTTTGCTTTTGATGTTTTTGTCTGTGCAGCAAATGAGTGCTCAGCAGTTATCCTGCATATAACTGCATGCCAGCTGCCACACAGTTTTTGTTGTGTTTTGTCACCTGTGCACCGTCATTATAAGACAAATGGGTCTTTCACCACTTTATCTTTATGGCTGGTCATATCAACCTCTAGCCCATCTTCTTCAGACCTTTAGTACTTGTCATGATAAAAGGAGCCTCATGATGAGAGCAGTGTTCAGAACAAACCTGCCACTGAACACTTGCTACAATATTGACTCCAGGAACAGTGATTTGTTTGTCTTTATGATGTGGCTCTTGATTTTCTTTGTGTGGTTGGTTATAGTGGTCGGTGGCATATACTGGTTCCTGTTTAGGAAACAGAGCCCTTTCTCCCTTGAGTCAGTGAGACCCCCTGGACCTCGGGAGTTTGATCAGAAGAAGCGGGACAAAGTCATCAAGCAAGGTAAAATGATTGCAGTTAAAAACGCTTGTATGCAACATCACATTTAATTGGTAATCTGATGCAGTACTTTGATCAGGAAGTATATTTTCTATCAGTTAGCTCTGTGGGTAAAAAATTCCACAAGATACAATACATTCAACAATTACATCACGACTATAATACAGACGTACAGAAATCCCTGAATTGCTAATAATGACAGTAATGACTGATGTATTTGATTTATGTGAAGTGCAGCACCTGAACGGAACAGAATCATAATTTTACACCTGTGTTTTTCATCTGATGACACTTAAAAACATCTGCTGTGAGAAAGGTCCACTAAAAAATAAATATACTCTTTTTAGGTTATATGTTTTTATTGTATCACAAGCCAAGTCCCTATCATGAATGTATAATGAGGTGTTACATCCATGGTCTGCAGAGGAAATTAGCAGTAGGCCTAAACTTCCAGGAGTTTTCACTGTCCCGTCGTAAAACAGCAAATTGTGGATTTTACACTTTGAGTTCTGTACAACTGAAATAAACAGCACTTAAATATAATATGTTCGCTAATTTGGGAGCTTTAGATGTGCTGGTATATGCAGATTTGGTTACCTTCAAACTGAGCCCGGCCAGCTGTCTCCAGGCTTTATGCTAAATTAAGCTCTCTCTATCTGAAGATTAAATACACCACTTTATACTTTTTTTAATTACATTTTTCAGTATTTGTTTTTATTTTAAAAACTTGCAATATAACTTACTGCCTTCTAATATGCTAAAACTGTCCAATGACATCAAGTCGACTCATCGAGTCTTGTGTAAGTTGTAAATACTTTGGACTAAGTTGACCTAAAATTAAAAACAAAGTATAAAGTATCAAAGTATATAAAAGTAGGCTATAAAAAATACTCTATATACAACTAATTCACTGTAGTTTTACAATTGCTGAGGTGCGCGGATACAGTTATCTAAATGACCTGTTTCAGTAATTTACAAATCAATAAAATGATTTGTATTGATTGTATTGGCAATTGATTTGATAAATTTTTTATCTGTGTGCATTATCTTAATTAGATTATGACTAGGAGATTATGTTGGCAGTTTTACCTACTGTTTATTTCCAACAACAGAACTCAAATTAATTCCGAAGTCATTTTTTTAATAATAAATAATAATTGTTATATGTTTATATATAGAACCTTTCTTAACAAAGATACAATGCAGATCCATGAATGTATTTATGGGGAGGTGCAGTCAGTACAACCTTCAGACTATTATGTAACCCAATTAAGCAACACACCTTGATATCTCAGTTTTAGCACTTGCTTGTGATAACATTCACAAAGCATCTTTATTAAACCTATTTGAACTAGAAGATACATATTACCACGTTGACATTACCTCTTTATGTTTCTTTGTAGGCTTCAGCCTTCACAAAGTGCCCCAGAACCTGGATGTCATTGTTATTGGGAGTGGTATTGGTGGGTTGACAGCTGCAGCAACACTGGCCAAAGCAGGGAAGAAAGTCCTGGTGCTGGAACAACATTCCCAGGCAGGAGGCTGCTGCCACACCTTCATAGAGAAAGGCTTTGAGTTTGATGTTGGTAAGACTTGTAACGTATGTAATTTATATATTTATCTCTGAATGACAGTATTGTTCATAATGTGTTGTGTTGCAAATCAGTGTTAATGTAATCCAATTAGTAAAACTGAATTAAACACTGGAAGAACAGTCACAATAGTGGATCCTAACTGGCCAAGACACTTTCCCAGTAGTCAGGGGCTCTGAACATGCCAGGGATTGTACTGTTTCAGGGCACTGCATGACACGTTTTCAGGGGACCTAGAATATGTAGCAGTAGTTTGGTGGGTGTGTTCAAGGTACAACCTGGTAAAGTACAATCGTATTTGTTTGGAAGCTTCGAGTTGGGTATACCATGCAAAGGCAGGTCCTGGAGCAACGAAACCCGGATTTGGTCAGAAGGGAAAAAACCCTGTTGACTGCTGACAGTAACTAGGGCTGCAAAAAATGACAATTGTCTTTTAAGTCACCCAAGGTCACCTTACAATGCATAAAATGAACTAGTCTCGTAGAGAAACAAACAGTGAAACATGGAACAAAAGAATAGACAAAACAGGAGAAAAAAAGTAGGCAGACATGTGTAGGTAGGGCATAAAACAGTAACTCAGTAAGTACAAGCGTTATTATGAACATCATAGTGAGAAGGCCAGTTAAACAGGTCAGTTTGGAGAAAAGAGAACAATTTTTGGAGCCCGCAACAGCAATTACACAAGGAACTGCAGATCTCCAAATCTAACCACAACAACAATTATATTTTACACATTTCTGTTCATATTTAGAGTTAGATTGGAATATGATTTTTACAGTATTAAAGTTATATAAAGAACCTCATAACAATCAACAATTTAAATGGGACCTTAAAATTGATGCTGTGAAATCTCCCTGGTATGACTTTTGAGAAGGAATGCAAATCTACATGAAATAACTATATACCATGTTCCTGTTTGCCTGTCTGTCTTCTCCAGGGCTTCACTACATAGGTCAGGTTCATGAGAACGGTCTGTTGCGTGTTGCTTTCGACCAGCTAACTGAGGGCCAGTTGGAGTTCCACAACCTAAATCAACACTTTGACACCATCTACATTGGCGAGGGCGATGAGAAACGAGCGTACACCATCAAATCGGGTAAAACTGAAATGCAAGCCCATCTGATGAAGCAATTCCCCGATGACACAGAGGCCATCAAGACATTCTTCAAAATCATGAAGGTATCGGTAGCTAGTGAACACATATTTCAATGTGTCACCAGTCCAGAACTTAACAACAAAACTATGACCATCTCAAACATCTTCTGTATTCTAACAGATCTCAGCTAATAAGGCCTCCTCCCTGGCAACTTTAAAGCTGATGCCGCAGTGGCTGGCTTTACTCCTGCTGAAGTCAGGCATTGCAAACCTCTTTTCCAGTGTCTACCGCCTCAGTGGCACATGTGCAGCAGCCTTTGTGAACACCCTGACCAGCAACAAGGATCTCCATGTCATCTTTTCTTATCTTTTCTATGGTGGGTCCTCAAAAATGTTACTAGAGATAAAAAAATTAATAAAAATATTGGTTGTAATAACTGCTTGAACAAACAACATATATGATCATTTTTCTTGCTGCTGTAAAATATGCAGTTTTTTCAGTAAAATGGTTAAATTTAATGGTGGAGACCGTGTGGGCCTTCATTATCTCTTTATTCTTATCACAAGTAGGAATATTATTATGAGGGTATTTTCTGACTGCTTGGAATTGCAGTCAACAAACCAGTGTCACGTATGATGTACAAAGACATAAGCGGCAGTTGATTGTAAATAATTGTAAGTAAGTAATCATATTGAACATTTCAGTGACTTAAGTCACAGACTTACAGGCATCGGCAGACATACAGTTTGGTATCTTCCCTGATGAGTCTCTGCCAGGCCTGAACTGTTTTGGTGTTGGGTGATTTTTACCTTCCGTCATGTGATTAACATGGCCAGTGAATATCCCACTGCCTTTGACAGGGCTCATGAGTTATACAATAAAAAGTGGACTTGTGACTGGATGGTTGTCGGTTCCAGTGCTGCACAAGATGAGAATATGATTTTAAAAAATACGTACAACAAAGTCATAATTAAGCGTTTATTTTGCATATTTTTAGGCGTGCCTCCAAAGGACTCCAGTCTTGTGATCAACGCCCTCCTGATTCATCATTACAAACGAGGTGCCTACTTCCCGAAAGGTGGTGCCAGTGAGATCCCCTTCCACATCATCCGCACCATTCAGAAATATGGAGGAAATTGCCTGGTCAGAGCCCCCGTCTCCCAGATCCTGGTTAATAAGGAGGGAGCAGCTTATGGTAAGAAATTATTCCAGCTCAGTTTTCACCTGTGAAGGCAATATATCCTATAGGTAAATGACTGAAGACTTCCTTTCTGTTGACAGGTGTTAAAGTGAGGAAAGGTCAGGAGGAACTGGAGATTCATGCACCTGTGGTTGTTTCAAACTGTGGCGTCTTCACCACCTTCCAGAGACTTCTTCCCCCTGAGATTCGAGTCAAGACAGGTGAGCAACACATCCTCTTAACGGATGAATTCCAAAATATAACTAAAGTTATCTTGAAAAAGTTTCAAGATGATTTTAAACTCTCCCATATTACAGATATTCAGGAAAGACTGAACATAATGAAACATGGCAGAGGCTGTTTGTTGGTCTTCTCTGGCTTTGATGGAACTGATGAGGAGTTGGGCATTAAGTCCACCAACATCTGGCTGTTCAAAAACAATGATTTGGACAAATCGTAAGTATGCAGAGCACTGATCACAGACCACTAAACTTAGAGGTAATATTTAGTTACCACAAGAGGGTGCTATTCTATAAGAAGTAGTAACTTTTCAGTGTAGTTCTGCTCCCAGGAACATTAACACATTTCTCATTTTTCTTGTAGGTCCGCTTTTATTTCTTCCAAATGAAAAAACAATGTGCAGCTTTGAATTTATTGACCACTTACATAAAGAAACGTGGTATATAGTATGTTGCTTATTCAATTACTAAGTTAAAATTCCATTTTCGTCCTCTAGATGGAGGATAGGATCAGTAAGGTTTTAGCTGGGTTCAAATAGCATACTCATGCTTTCTTTTATGTGTGGCAACACTGCAGATAAAAGCAGCCCTGTGATGTGTTTTTTTTTTTTAAGGATGGATGACTTCTTTGCATTGAGCAAAGAGGAAGCACCAGATAATATTCCAATGATGATGATCACAGTTCCATCGTCCAAAGACCCTGAAGCCAAAATAAGACACCCTGGTACAAACACCCAGTACTTTTTCTACTGCTGCGAATAATAGTAGTAACATGAAATTATGTTAAAAAGAAAGAATATGCCAACATTAAAGATAAAGACACATGTTATGTTTCAAAGATGTACTGCTAATACCACATTTGAGTGTCCAAACAGATAAGGTGTTATGTCTTATGTGTTTTATGTTCACAGGAAAAGCTTGCATGACAATACTGATAATGGTCAAGTATGAATGGTTTGAGGAATGGAAGGACACTACAGTGCGCAAAAGGGGTGATGAATACTATAACTACAAAATGAGATTTGCCAATAACCTATTTGACTGGGCCTGTACTATTTACCCTAAAATCAGAGACAAGGTAGGATTGGTCATTCTCTGTCATACATGCACGTATGCACACATGTTCATGTATGTTTCTGTTGTCTGTGCATATACATTAAAGTTATCTAAAACATATAACTTCTAAAACATTAAAAATGATAAATGTATCGTTATTAAAGCATGTTAGGTTAATTGTAGGTTGTCCACACTTTGAATTTACATTCATTTGTTGTTTGTCTTTGAATAAAGACTTCATTTGAATATTTGTATGACTTGCTTTTCAGTTGGTTTTCCAGGAAGTGGCGACCCCACTGAGCAACATGCACTACCTGGGTGCCCAGCGTGGAGCCATGTACTCCTCTGAGCACAACCTAGACCGTTTCCATGCTGAGACTGTGGCAAGGAACAGGTGCACCACCCCCGTCAAAAACCTCTACATCTCAGGTATGAAAAGTTACAAACTTGGCCATGGCTTTAATGTTAACAAGCACACTCAAATGTGTTTTATAACTGAATGACATTTTCACTGGCATAGAAATGTCTTAACAAGCCCTAAGACTGATTCACTTGATGTGCGAGGGTTGACAATGCTTTGTTTCTTTTCAGTGTAATTTCTTCATATAAAACTAGCCTCACTGGATTCGTTTACTGGTACAGTTAAAACACAATAGCTGGGATCCAGACTTCTAGTAGTCTTGTCTCATGCAGAAGGTTGTTTGTGTCTGTCTGTCTATTCCAGGCCAAGACGTGTTCAGCTGTGGGATAGCAGGCGCTCTGCATGGTGGACTTCTCTGCGCCACTACAGTGTTAGGTCAAATCATCTACATTGACTTGCTCCTCCTCAAGATGAAGCTAAAAAGGAGGAAAGCCAAAGAGATGTCCCAGCTGGCTAAGAAGAAACTGCAGTGAGAGTGCTCTCTACTTACCCTGCAGGACAATAGGGAAACTGCACAAACCTGGTGCAAAAGGACCGATGCCTATAGTGCAGTTTTCTGACAGTTACAAGGAACGGATGTTATGTCCTGGTTGTACTAAAAGGAAATAATACAGCTGTGATGAACATAATTTTCAAAGTTGAAAACATCAAAAATAATAAGAAAACATAACATTTGTTTTTTATTTTCTGCACAGAAGCCATCACACTATCCTCAGTCAAGTCTGTCAACTAAATTTAGTGTTAGTGTGAACAAAGACTAAAATATTTCCAGAATTATGTATTCCTGGGGGATCACAGTGATCTATACCATTATACTAGATCTTAAGCAACTAGCATAATAAAGTACACATTGCTTGTTCAAAGTCTGTATTTTTGCATCATGTTTCCTCACATTTCGCTGGTTACTAACCATTCATCTTAGAACTTCTTACAAGTTCTTCAAGATTGTTGTCTGTGCTTAAAATAGAAATACAAGGTGCTAAAGAGTTAGCATAGCTCGCAGCACTGCCAACAATCTGACAAGGAATTATAATGAAATCATAATAATCTATTCTAGTTGGGAGGCTACAAAATAAGACTAATATATCTTATTTACAATATTGCAGTATTTGTGCAGATATGCTAGTGGCTGGGGATGGTTGTGGGAGTTGCTGGTCACTGGGTCACTTTGATTCTTCTTCTGTTTTCAAAGTTTTCCTGCTTTGCCTGAGAAAGTAACCACAAAGTGTTTCATTGCTCATAATGCACATTATCCTGACTTGAATAAACTTTTCCTAATTTACCATATTTTCTATGCTTCTGTAACTCTGCATCGTTTCATGGGAAATAATATGATTTTTTATGATAAACCATATTCGAAAAATCAAACTCTGTCTACCCAAATACTCAAAACATTACATTTTCAATGTGCTAAAACTACTATCGATCAATATGAATACTGGAAAAGAAAGAAAGAAAGATAATAATTAGCTTTGTGTAACGATTTGCAAGCTCTATCACTTTGACCCTTTCAAGATCCTAAATTGTACCTCTCTGAGCAACACCATAACCTGTCATTGTTAAATACTACAAAATATTTTTACCCAAATTCTTAGGTGATAGGTGATAAGAGCAGTTTGAAAACATCAGCTAGGAGTCTAAAATTGTAGCCATGATTATATGATTAAGTTTTAAAATACCTATAACAATTAATTCATATAAGATTATTAGCATCAGGTATAATGAGTGGTTATTGTTTGCTAATTTTTTATATATCACTTACTGGTGAACTGAGATCCCCACTGGGTTTCTTCGTTCCCACCTATGTTGTTCTGACCTGACTTATAACCCCAGTGTTGTTTGGGTAACTGCTGAAATCAAACGTATGGGGGGAAACCTCAGACTTCCTGCACTAAGTGAACATTTCCTTAGTAAACGGTGGGCAGACTGGCTGACAAACTGTGGTCTGTAGGAGACGACCGAGGGGATCCGAGCAGAAGAATGCCCCTTCTGTCCAGGCAGCCAGTGGGATGCCAGTACCTCTTGCACTGTTAACCTCCATCCCTCTGCTGTACAAACCCAGGGAATGTTGTCCCTGCTGCAAGCGCTCTAGTGTGCAACTTGTTACTTTTTCTTTCAATACTTGTGCAAAAAGAAAAGAACAAAACTAAGGGAAGTTCAAGGAACAAGGAGCAAAATGGATAGGAGAGGAGTTAATTATATTGACTTTGCCTGGCTGGAAGTTCAGTAGACTGTAACATATAATTACCATGGCACTATAAAGTGCAGGACTTCACCAGAAATAAACATGACATCTGCAGTAACTCTTACTTTCCTATGCTGTGCACTGACGAAGAGCTATAAACAAACTCACCTAAGTTGAGTTCACCCACCTTTTTTAGCCATGCTAGCGGTGTGGCTCTAGGAATGGCAATGTTGGCCTGTCGGTTGGTCGGTCCACCACTTTGGTCCAGATGGAAATATCTCAACAACTGTTGGATGGATTGTCATGAAATTTTATACAGAATTTTATACATGTTTCCAAAGGTTGAATACTACTGATTTTGGTGATCTTCTGACTTTTCCTCTGGCACCACCATGAGGATAACATTATTGGTTTTTGTTAAATATCTTGACATGAATCACCATGGAACAAATTAATGTCCCCTTCGGGCTAAATTGTAATGACTTGAGTAACTTCTAGCACCATCAGGTCAAATGAGTATTTTTTCCCCAATAAATATATTAATAGTTTGTGACCCAATACCTGCAAAATTAATGGCATTCCATCAGCCTCAGCTGTACTTTGTGTTTAGTGCTAAATAGCAAATGTTAGCAAACTAACAAGCTAAACTAAGACGGTGACATGATAAATATACCTGCTAAACTCCTACATGTTAGAAATGTCACTGTGAGCATGCAAGCATGTTGAGGTGCCTAAATACAGCCTCACAGAGATGCTAGCATGGTTGTAGACTTTGTGTTATTAGACTTCTTATGAGTTCATAATATTTCATATGTTATGGCTTGTAGCGTTAAACTTCTTTTATTGCTTTATTATGATTAATGAATCATTAATCAATGTGTTACAGATTAGAAAAAATAATATTTTTGAGAATGTTTAGGTTGTTGGTTTAGGTTGTGAAAAATAAGGGGTTTAAACTCATGACATCTAGTCTACAATATCAAGAAGTATGCATGGATTTTGGTCCAGATTCAATGCAGTGCTTTTCAAGAAGGTAAGTGGTGGTAAGGTGCTTAAACTGTCCATTGGAGGGGTCTTTCTGATTAATTAAAGAACATAACATAAAAAGGCAAGGTAATTAGAGCTAGCAACCCAAACTGAATTTATTCACATTATTACTGATATATAAACCACTAATTTGATTGTTATCTATTACCATCTCAAACACAACCTTCGTACTGAACTACAGCTAGTGTTGCAGGTTAAATCCCAAAAATTAATATCAGTGCTCTGCGGTGCAAGAAATGGAAAAACTTCCCTTTGTACAGTAAAATAATAAATGACAGCCACCATTTTAAAATGAATGTAACATTTTGCAAGTGTAAGCTTACAATTCTAGTTCAAATTTCTAAGCCATTTTAAGTTTAAATTATTATATATATATATACAGTGTTTTCATTGATGATTTTATTTTTATTTGTTGTGTTGGTTTTTTGGTAAGATTATGTATTCTAGGCACATGGACTCTTGCATCTTTGCTACCTTTAAATAGGTCTTGGAATTTATTGTGCTATCCTTAACATTTTTGCATTTGTGTGTGATCTACAACTAGTAATTAAGCCTTTAGTTATCACTTATAAACCCTTTATAAAAAATGCCTTATGAGAAGTGTGGTACACACTTTTATTCCAAGAAAAAGAGTGAACATATGATTCATTTTGCTTTGTAATAATACTTTACAATGATCATTGACTAGGGGGCACTTTTATACTGTACAATTGCATCAGTGGCTATAGAATTCATCATCAGTGTAGTTTACACTTCTACGGTGTTAAACATTTCAACTTTCTAGTATTTGCAGCAAGGAAGTACTGAGAACTAGGGAACCTGTCACTCCCCTTAGAAATTTAACTTTGTAGAAAACCAAGTAATTTCAGCTAAAATGGGCAGATCTGAGGAGGAATTTCAGTTTTTCTTGACCAGCACAAGCACCACCTCAACCCCCTCCCTGCTTTTTCCTCTTGCAGGCGGCTCCCACATGTTTAGACACGCTCTTACATCAGGAGAGGCCCAGAGGGTCGGATCTTAAAAACAAAGTCCACTCTTTCCACTGTCTCAGCCACTTTGTTCAGCATTCTCTATCCAGCAGATGCACACTTTTAAATGCAATTTCAGGGGCTGTAGTTCAAAGCAAATCTGGTAACCAAAAACTTTTATTTATATAAAGCGAACAGTAAACTCGCAAAATAATGTAGTGGCAGGATTGGCTCAGAGAGTATTCATGTTGCTAGGGTCTCGTCTCAGCCAGCTTTCCTTCTTTTCCAGATGTTGGAGCTCCTCCCCGCTGGCTTGCTGCAGCCTCCCACAGCTTGAACCCAGCCAACAATCACAGCTGCTACCAATCTGAAGACTCTCAAACGAAAGTTTCAGACGACCCAGATGAGAGGAAGACCCAGTCTGATGATTGCACGCAGGATCTGACTGGGCTTAAAGGCATGAGCATCACAAAAAGCGACGCCATTTTTTAAGGGTCACTCCTACTTAACTAGTATCTTATAGTAAAGTATGATGCACTTGATAGATGAAAACTTTCTATCAATCTTTCAATTTTACCATAAATGGGGTTTTGAAGCCAAATGTACAAATGTACTACACAGGGAAGATAAAAAATGGATTCCTTCATTTCTGTTTCTGTGGATTAATCCAAATCAGACTGAAGTTGTTCTCTACACAGATCAAAGACCCTCTTCTCTGATGTCGGCTAAAAGCTGATGCTTGAGGCCAGCTTTCTGTTGAGCTAAACAGAAAATCCAAGGAAAATGGCATCTTCCCCAAATCTTCCTCCTGCCTGAAAAATCTGTCTACAATATGAAACAGTACTGGTCCACATGTCAGCGCAGTTAAAGCTCAAACTAGCAACTGTACATAATGTTTAGGTCAGTTTTGCATTCTCTAAACTCCACTCAGTCATGTAATTGTTATATTTACAGAAGTTAGCACACAACTTAAATTTAGTCTGAAACAACTAATTGATTAATTAAGAAAATAATTGCCAAATATTTTGATAACTGATTAACAGTTGTCAACAGTTTCAGCTTTTCACTTATGAGGATTTCCTGCTTTTCTTTGCCATGTATGATATGAACCTAGACATTAGGTATTTGTATTGTTGGTTGGGAAAAAACAAACAACGTAATTATTTCTGACACTTTTTGAGCAATATTATCATATATTGTCATATATTTGGAATTTATGGCCACCTGATGAATGTAAGTCATGTACTCACTCTATTTTAGCTCTGTTTTGGTTTATACCATCTCCTGAGATATCTGGCTCT